AGGATTATCTGCAGTAATGAAAGTAAGACACTTGGGGGAGTAAAATTGAGAGGAGTTGGAGGTCAATGGGTGGATTCTTGGTCCTGTAGTGAGCACCAGTCATGCTAATGATGACGGTGCACGGCTTTGTTTCACAGCTGGACATTTTAAGCTCACTTCAGCTTCCATAAATGTTGTTTTACACCAGAATAAACACCATGATCGGGCCATCATGGGGACCAATAGCTTGGCGAAACGTAGATTGGGTGCCAGCCACGTCTGTCGCATTTCAGGGTAGATATTTCAGAAGCCTTGTGTACTGTGAGATGACAGCGCATGTTAAAAAAAAAACACGCCAGCTGGTCTAAATTATCTGGAGCACTCCACTACGAGATCTCTCCTAATCTATCAGACTAACAAGATGATATAGGAGGCAAGCTTTATCTTGATGCAAGACCACTATCAGAGATAAAAATCTTGGGACTTTGACCCACGGTTATGTGCATGCACAAGGCCACGGAAGCTTTCCCGTTTCGGTACTTCAAGACGGCCAGGTTTCACGATCGTCTGTGAATATCACAGCGAGTTCGTGTTGTGTGGGTTTAAGAACTAACGCTTACTGTCCATTTAATCTTTTCTTGATCTTTTGTATTTTAAACCTTGCATATCCTTCCTTATTTTTCTATACTTTTCGTGTATGATAGCCAACCAAGGCGAAGCTCAGTTATTCTCCTTGCCTTTCATCATTTCTCTCATAGCTTGAGCCGCATCAGGACGTTAAAACCAAATGAATAAATCAGCCTGCTTTAACCTTAAACGTATACTAAAACCTTCCGCTACTGAAGTTTTTAAGGGTTGTAACAATATAAAAGTTTACAAGCAATTTAATAATTCTACAAAAAGCAACTCTTTTTCGTTATCAGCGAATAAGATTTCTCACCTGCGACCAATTGCATCGATACAGCGAAAAAGCAACCGGAGAGCAGTGCGCCTAGTTTTACCGATGAAAACGTTCCCATCCTTCCTTGTATCATGAACGCTGCGTTGGAACTGCCGAGCCATGTAGTACCAGCCTGCGACCGTTTATTTATCTTATCAGCAACGGACAGATTGTGGTCATGCCGTTTAAACCATGTGTCCTCACCTATCGGTCAGATAACACATACGCGCGACAGGTTGATCTCCGTACATTAGAATCTTAGTGAACGTCGTACAAAATGTCATTGCGCGTAAACTTTATTTTCAATACGCGGACACCTTTTCTGCAATGTTGACTTTATATTGAAGAAAGCGGCAAGAACAGAGTCATGATGAGAATAGGGAGACTCTTCAGTGGAAGCTTCAATTCAATATCACCTGCCAATAAGGGTCACTAAAAGGTTCGATATCATGCTGTTTTGGTGCTCAACAAAAGTTGTTTAAAATGTTTTTCGGCATTCAGAGCATTCGTTGCACAGCGTACCTCTAAATGTGAACTAAAACGTAAATCCACCTCGGTTATTACCATTTATGTGGGTAAGAGAAAGACCTGAATTGCTTTGTGTCAAAATATTTTTGTTCAGCCCGCCTTATCAGTGATTTATATACGGCCTGGCAGTAAAATTAGCGGCATCCCCATAAATAACAAGGTTGCTTTTTGATTTATGCTTTTTTACCGCAAGTCCTAAATTACTAAAATGAAAAGCTTTGGGCTGTTCTTCTTGCATCAAAAAGTATAGGAACAGTGTGATATTCAACGCGGGGACACCAAATTCAGCGGTTCTGTGTTACTATTGTGTACCCGTGAAGAATATCGCGCGGTTCATTGTTCCTACTTCCTAAGTTATTTTTGAGTGAAAATTGGTTCACTGAAAAAAAAAATGCCAGGCCTGCGTGGAAGGCGCAGCACAGCCACAGCGAAAGCTAGAAGAGTGGCCTTTCAGAGCCTTTTGTAACTGCTGCCAGTGCACTTGCTTGGTACCCCCTAGGGCATTAATAATAAACTTTTGAGTAGTAGGCCGGCATTCGCTATGCTATCATTCATCATTGTTCTGAGAAGCGTGGTATCCGCTAAACACTTACAAGAAACTTTGTGTCAATTGTTCATGTAGTGGCTGATGGGGATGAGGAATCATGGCTGAAGTGGGCATGCGTCACAGTTAATAGGGAAACAAGAACAAGCTTTTTTAATGGGTTGGGGCATTGAACGGCCCACTCGTTACGCTATTCGCATTGTGTGATGTCTAGTTGTTATTTTGCTGTTCTAAAACGCTTTATTACTCAAATTCACGAGATGATCCATGGTGTCTTTGATGCTAGATTTTTCTTATTTCTGCGATAGTGGTTACGGACACCGGCGGCGGCGGACAACTACGGCACCGCGCGTAAACCGACTTTTGATGTCATAGCAGCTTTCACTCTGAATGAAGCTGTAACGCGACGATTTTTCTACAAAGATATGGCATATTGGTTTTATTTTGCTATAAAAAAGACACGAACAGTGCCAAAAATAATAAAAGGCATCTCTATTCGCATTTGAAACCCTTGTGAAATAACGGAACGTAGCTGGTAGAACGGGCAGAACGAAAAGAACGTTTTTTGCTCGGTGTGACTGTATTTAAAACTAATCAGAAAAGGTCATATGACTCGTCTTTATAAGCAAATGCATGACACGTGTGAACAGCACTGTTCTTGTTGTACATCGGTACACGTGCCTTATAACACAGCGTCTATCCCCCCTAATGTTGAGTAAGCGAGATGATCCAGTAGTTCCCGCTGGCGAGTCGGACGTCGTAGTGGTTGTTGGTCTTCGGCTTGAGAGTTCACTTCTCGTAGGCCCTTATCTTGAGGTGCGTCTGCCTGCTTGAGGCTACCCTGAGCTTCGTCGTGAACTTGGATTTGTTTGCCAAGTCCAGTCATGGCCGTACTTGATCTACGTTGCGCCGATGTGGTCCCTTCGGTGTTTCAGCGTTACCGTGAGAGCTCCCATCGTGGACACTATACTGTCGCCGGCATTCATCTCTGACCAGACTGGTACTGGTGCGACCATACAAGCCTTCCGGATTGGATCCACGAGTGTACTTTTGCTTGTGCTTCTACAGGTTTGCCGGCACCATTTCTTTTGGCCACCTTTTCATCTGTGAGCGAGGCCGTCAGCCTGGTCCGGGGACAAAAGCCCAACAGCAGTTCTGCTGGTGATTTTCCTGTTTCCAAAGTGGTTGTTCTCTAACCTAATTAGAACTTAATTAGTCGTTCTTGCACTGTACCTGTCTAATTCTTTCGATGCTCTTCCTTTATGGTCCACACGGCCCGTTCCGCCAAACCATTTGACTGCGGCTAGTGTTTGGGGCTGTGCTCACTTGTTTCACGTGACTTTCCTACAAATACGTGACACGATGGCACTTGAAAACTGTGGTTGGTTATCTGATACCAAGCATTGCGAGAGGCCAAAACGTGCGAAAATACCTTGAGGTACGTGAACGGTGGCGCTCACCGTGACAGTCATCAAAGGTATGGCCTCGATTCATTTAGTCTCGGCGTCCACCAACACCAAAACTTGGAAGCCATTCATGGGGCCCGCGAAATTCATGTGTAACCTGTACCATGGTTTGTTGCTCGCCGGCTAAGGAGATGGAACTTCTGCGGCAGGCATTGGCCAGCATTGTATGCCCTGAGGGCAACCTTGAACTAACGATTGTCACTGTCTAAGCTAGGATACCAAAAAAGTGCAACCGCTGTGCGCTTCATCACACTGATACCTAGGTTACTGTCATCCAGTTCCCTTAGCATGCCCCGTCGTGCCTCATGTGGCAACACTACGCGATGGTCCCAGAAAATCAGATCATGACTAGCTGCGACGTCGTCACGGCGATAAAAGTACCTACTTAGGTGTTCCTGTGCTGCAGATAAGCGCCGTGGCCAGCCATGCATCATGCATACCCTGATCTGATGAAGCGTATTGTCTTTGCGGCTCATGTCTAATTGCTGAGCGGAAAGAGCCATGGAATTCAGGCCCTGTCTGTATAGCACGTATTCTATGGGTTTTTGCCCTCCTCGATCCTCCAAGCACGGCAATGGTAGACCACTGAGAGCGTCTGCGTTAGCCTTTAGCTGTGCCTGGCGGTACACGAGGTCATATTGGTAAGCAAAGAGCATAAGTGCCCACCTTTGTATTCTCGCTGCTTCCCTGTGCGGAATCTGCCTCTCCGACTGGCAGCTTCATCAGAGGCTTGTGATCTATAACCAGAGTGGAATTGATTCGCCATCAAGTAATCTCGAAACTTGATAAAGCCGATTACCAACGCCAATGTTTCTCTCTCTAACTGCAAACAATTTCGCTCAGCAGTTGTCAGGGTTCTCGGGCAGACAGATATGAGATAATTGAGGCTCCCTATTCGGTGTGACAGCCCCGTGCTGACCCCAACCGGTGACGCATCACATTCAAGTCACAATGGCTTTTCTGGGTTGTAGTGTATGATGATTAACCCCCGTATTCACAAACGCTCCTCCACTCGACCTTCACCCTTCACTTGACAGAGTTGAACACTGCGCCGCCGCTCGGCTGAAAATGACGATGCGCTACTCATGAATCGCAGCAGATTATCGCTGATATGCAGTGACTTGTCGTGATCAGAGATGGTGCTCCTATCGGCCTTCTCAAGTGAAGGTGAAGCGTCGAGTGAAGGGACGTTCTAGAAAACGGGGTAAGTCCTGCTTCCATCATAGCGCGCTTGGCTGCCTTGAAGGCTTCCTCGTGTTCGGCTCGCCAATGTCATCGCGGTGCTTCAACCAGCAGCTTAAAGAGTGGATCTAACGTGGCGGCAAAGTTAGGCAAAAACTTGGCGTAATATGTGATCAATCCCAAAAATTATTTCAGCTGGCTCACCGTATGTGGCCTTAGTGCAGCGGTGATAGCTTCCATATTACCGGGAAGGTGGAGACCCGTAGCACCTATCTTGTGGCCCAAGAACGATACCTGCGTCTCGCGGAATCTGCATTTGTCAAGGTTCATCTTGAGTCTATTGTTCCGTAGCTGCTCTGACTCGCCGCAGTGGAGTCGTCGTTCTGCTTTTCGGCTGTGATGTCATCCATGTACACCTTGACGTGAGGGAGGCCTTGCAGAATGGCCTCTAAGCGGCGCTGGAACAAAGCCGGAGCAGATGTGATGTCGAAAGCGAGGTGGCTGTATGAAAACAGCCCCTTATGTGTGTTTAACACAGGCATTTCTCGTGCCTCGTTGTCCAGTGGAAGTTGATGTGGGACGTTAAACCCCACATATCAATCAATCAGTGGAAGTTGATAATACGTGTGCAGTAAATCCAAAGTGGTGAACACTTCCCCCCTATACAGAGATGCGAATATGTCCTCGATTTTCGGCAAAAGCTATTGTTCCAACTGTGTTGCCGGATTCACGGTTAATTTGAAGTCCTCGCACAGCCTAATATCTCAGTTACGTTTCACAACGGGCTGGGGTATCTCACTAGAGAAAGCATGCTTTCCTATATTTGGTGGTCAATTTTTGCCTCCACCTAATCCCGAAGCGCAAAAGCACGGGTCGAGCCTTCACAGGCGGCTTCACAGACGGCTCCTTGCAACAACCCAACCTCTCCTAAAAAAATTCTAGGAATTCCACCACCAGTTTTGCTGTGGCTGCGTCGCATCGAACTACATGTACGTTGCCTGGCACACATTCTTCCAGTAACGCCATTCCAGCATTCCGAAGGGCTTAAATGGTGTTCCGGCCGCACAGTAGAGGCCCATCGCTATCCACTACAACCAGCGAGCTCTCACACATCCGTGTCACCGCACTTGATTTTCATGGCCACTCGGCCAAGGACCGCCAGCGGCCCCAGGAAGCATGTCAGGCGCAGTGAAGTCTTCTCCACTGTTGGCCACAGCTCTCGATGTTTCTCGAATACCCTCTTTAGAATAACGCTGATAGTGGACCCCGTATCCACCAGCATGCGCAGTTTCTGGCCCTCCCAGGTAAAATTACTTTCGAATGGTCGAACGAAAACGTTGCTACTGTAGCTGTGAGCCACCAAAGCGTAGAACACTTCTTTTTCACTTACGTTTAGCAGTGAAGAAATTTCGAACAGTTCCAAAACATGGTCCGAGCCATAACTCCAGCATTCGGTAGACTCGGTCATGCATGCATACCTTTATCCGAATTTCGGCGGATTCTTTTTGGGCTTCTGTACAAAATTGGCGAAGCATTGTCGTGGGCGCTCCTCTCTTGCATAGACCGCACACTTGTTTCCATCGTTTCTGCAGCTAGAGCGAAAGCTTCTGCCTCAGCAATATTCAACTTCTTTTGTGACATGTGTCGTCGAGCTTGTTCGTCACGGATTCCGCAGACAATCCGATTCCGCAACATGCGGTTCAAAAACTTCTCGAAATTACAATCTTTCGCGAGACGTCTCAGGTCAGTGATATAGTCCCGTACTTTTTCGCCGTCTGATTGATTCCGCGTGAAAAAGCGTAGCTCACTGCATTCTCCTCAGCTTGCGGATCGAAGTGGTTGTCCAGCAGCTGCACGACGGCGTCATAGCTAGGGCTGTTAACTGATTCTGAGTGGTGCTTTCCCTGAAGTACGCGAACAACTCACTTAGTGCCGATACCAGAATCACTTGCCGTTTCCTTGTATATGTGATGCCATGGCCCTCAAAAAAAAAAGGCCTCCAAACGGACACAAGCGCTCCAGCTACTGGTCGCGTTGTCTTACTCTGTTCTGTTGAAAATTTCGGTGTGATGAAGTTTGTTATATGACAAATTAAATTCTATATAGTGAACTCTGTGTATTGTGGGAATTTATAGGACCTTTCTTCATCACTTGTACATAACCATCATCACATGGTGTTCTTCATATTCATTGTTTATGGGGACATCATTTGAGTCTGCTCTGCGCCTCAGATGTGACTAGCTTGGTCAGGTCTGCCAGGCCTAATAAAGAGGTGTAAGGCACTACGCCGCAATATGTTTATACATAAATTGCATTGAAATGTCATGCTTACGAAAATCGAGATTTTGATCCTGAGTGAACATATGCGATTTCCGAAGTGGTGTCGCTTTATTTGTATTTCTAAGTGTGATTATAAGAATTTCTCTGTTTCTGGTTTTTGTTTGTTTGCATGTTCTGTGACTGAATATGCCTTGCCCATTATCCTGGAGTGGCAAGCCGAGCTTTCAATCAAGTTGACGCTTACAGGGTGGCCACCTCTGTGGTCTTGTGGTTATAGTTCACGATTCCGATTCCCGGGGCCATCGGCCATAAAATGCTGATCGCTATGGTTCTCGTCTGATTACCGGATCTAATGTCGCGACCCGAATGTTGAGGAATTGGACCCCGGTCACGGTGGCCGCATTTTTGGCGGATGCGAAAATGCTTGAAGCTCGTGTTCTTAGAAATAGGTGCACGTAACAGAACACCGGTTCGTCAAAACTTCCGGAGCCCTCTACTACGGACACTTTCACAGTGATAACGTATTATTCACTTTCCGTTTTTATTATTCCTGCTGCTGCAGGCACTCCAGTCGTCATGCAAGACTCATGAAAGGAACCCTTCTTTAAACTGCCTCCGTCACTTCACCATATTACGTGAAAAAATTTAAACCTTTAAGGTATCATCATTTATTTGAAACTACGTTAGTGTTTTCCACGTCCCTTGTTTCCATAAAGAAAAAAAATATCGCTTATTGTGCTTACGTGTGCACAATTTCTTGTCAGTCGGCTCTTGCCTATAAAGGACGTTGTAGCACTGGAAAGAAGGCAGAGGATGCGCGTCATTCTCATGTTTCTAGCACTTGGAGGTTTGACCTATGATCATAAACTGCTCCTCTTCAGAATACGAATGATTTCCCTTGCACCACCGAATAAGAGTTCCTATTATGAACAATAAGCAACACAAAACAAGTTCTCTCAAATATCGCAGCTAGCTTCAGTTGTTGGCGACCAACTAAAGGTTCCGGGCATCGAGAGCGATGGACGCTGGGTGACCTGAAAATTTAGCACACGCAGCATTCACGTGTATTGGAAGAGACCGGTGACACTCGCAAACAAAGCCGATGTGGCTTCTCTAAAATCTGACGCCTGCCGGCATGCACTTATGCCACGTGACCAGCGTGAATGTTTCCGAAGTATTTTACGTCAAAGCCCTCTACATTCTAGAAAAAGTTCAGCTAAGCGTGAGTGCACCCAAAAAAAGGTTGTGGGTTTTTTTAGAGCTAGATCCGGTCCACTGACAGTCCAGATATTGTACACTGACGCCATGACACGTTGCGAGCGTTCCCTCACGTGGCCGCGAAAGATGTGATGTTTCTATGGCCGCTCCCCTCCTGACGCAATTAAAGCACAAGCGACCATATTGGCAGTTCAAGTACCGTATGTCTTCTAAACTAGCTTTACTGGTGCGCGAAGCCGCCAGAATCAGGGGCCTAGCTAGGGGGTGGCACACCGGGCCCGTGTCCTGACTCCCTACGTGGTACAAAATAACACTCGAACACATCTGCCTGTGCCGATTCCCCTACAGATAAAAAGGGTGACCCCCCCCCCCCTTTCCCCAAAGTGTTTATTCGACAGACACGATAGAAACGACCACCACTCCGCTGTGACAGTGATCTCGGAGACAGCAGATCTTTGTTTTTCAGTTCGGACATTTCAGTGAGGTGGTGTTACAGCGCTGAATCGCGCACACGATGAACATGGCGTTGAAATGAGCTTGTCAATATGTTGTTATATCGACAAAAAAAAAACAGCGCACAATACAAAACACACGGAGAAGAAAACGACTGTGTCAGCGCTACCTTGTTAACGCTCGTTGATAAAGACATTATTTTTTTAAACGGGTGTGAAATTCTCATGCCATGTTTCTTTTTGTTTCGTGCGGTTAATTAAAATATATCCATACGGATTTCCCATCCTCTACTACTCTTATCAACTTAATATTTCACCTATAGCTAGGGGTCGTTGCAGGCGCATGATGGCTGCCGGTGGGTACAAATTAGTTGTTTATTAGTATTTTATTTTGTCGAGCTGAGGCGAGCTTGCTCAGCCGTTTCCTTAACATTGTTTTTCGTGTTTCTTTTTTGGATTGCCGACGTGCTGAGTTTTTACAATTTTCACGAAGAATGCAAGAGAATGCAATCAGATTGTGGGTTTCGCACGACGATTGTGGGTAATACGCATGAAGTTTACCGCATTATTCAGAATTTTGTGCGAGCCGGGTACAAGTTGTGTGACGGCATATATGACTAGAAAGAGGTAAGCTCGTACTGAGATTGTTTACCAAACTTCATGATCAAAAGCATCCTCGGCATCACCCGAACTATACTATCTTAAACCCTGGAGTTTTGTTGGCACAGTATTTTAGCTTCTCCGCGCATATTGCCACCTGGTGTTCTGTGCCAGAGAACAGTGAGCCAGTTGCGTGCCAGGGAATGAAGAAGACGAAGACGAGCAACTCGTGCCAGCCGGAGGCGTCCTTCTCCGCGTCTGAGATTTTGATTATCACGTTCCCTTGTATGTTTCTTCGAGCCCCTCGTGCGTGACAAATGGGGGAGGTGCTGCGTAAACCACAATGGGATTTACTGGCCCACTGTTCACTGACACAGAACAGAAGTTGGCAATATACTCTACACGGTAGTTGTTATTGACAAGCCCCGCCGTGGTGGTCTAGTGGCTAAGGTACTCGGCTGCTGACCCGCAGGTCGCGGGTTCGAATCCCGGCTGCGGCGGCTGCATTTCCGATGAAGGCGGAAATGTTGTAGGCCCGTGTGCTCAGATTTGGGTGCACGTTAAAGAACCCTAGGTGGTCAAAATTTCCGGAGCTCTCCACTACGGCGTCTCTCATAATCATACGGTGGTTTTGGGACGTTAAACGCCACATATCAATCAGTTGTTATTGACAACTATCGCAGCCCAAGAGTACAGTTACCCGCACTGGGACGTTTACATGGTGCCCCGCCGCGGTCGTCTAATGGCTAATGTACTCGGCTGCTGACCCGCAGGTCGCGGGTTTGTATCCTGGCTGCACCCGCTTTATTTTCGATGGAGGCGAAAATGCTGCAGGCCCGTGTCCTCATTTTTGGGTGCACGCTAAAGAACCCTAGGTAGTCGACACTTCTGGGGTCTTCAACCACGAGATTTCTCATAATCATATGGTAGTTTCGGGACTTTAGGCCCCGCCTATCAATTTACATTTATATGAAAGCGTTCAGCAACAAAAATGAATCGTTTAAAAGAAGCAGCCCACGTTCTGCCTGTGCATTCCTTTTAAACTTCAATACCTTCATAGCCTTCGTAGATTACGAGAAGGCGTTTGATTCAGCAGAAATATCAGCCGTCATGCAGACACTGCGGAATCAGGGCGTAGATGAAGTATATATAAACATTCTGGAAGAAATCTACAGGGGATCAACTGCTAACATAGTGCTTCATAAAAAAGAAAGCAACAGAATACCAATCAAGAAGGGTGTAAGGCAGGGGGACACAATCTCCCCAATGCTATTTACCGCGTGCTTACATGAGGTTTTCAGAAGCCTAGACTGGGAACAGTTAGGGATAAGAGTTAATGGAGATTACCTTAGTAAACCGCGCCTCGCCGATCACATTGCATTGCTGAGTAACTCGGGGGACGGGTCGCAACTCATGATTACGGAGTTAGACAAGGTGAGCAGAAAGGTGGGTCTTAAAATTAATCTGCAGAAAACGAAAGTAATGTACAACAACCTCTGAAAAGAGCAGCGCTTCGAGATAGGTAATAGTTCACTTCAAGTGGTAAATGACTGTCTACTTAGGGCAGGTAATAACCGCGGAGCCGAACCAGAAGATTGAAGTAACAAGAAAAATAAGAACGGGGTGGAGCACATTCGGCAAGCACTCTCAAATTATGACAGGTAGGTTGCAACTATCCCTCAAGAGGAAGATATAACAGCTGTATCTTGCCGGTACTTAGCTACGGAGCAGA